ATTTCATTACATCAGAAAATGGGTTTTTCTTTTAATATTTTTCATTGCAGGAAAGAAGTTCCATTTTCATTGTTGAAATGTGTAGCATCAGGTTAGACCTCTATTATGGGGCAGTTGTCATGATGGATTTTTAGGTCTTTGACAAATCCTCTTTTTCTTTCTCTTTAACAAAGCTGGATTCCTCTTTTACATATTTTTAAAAATCTTTTTCTTGAATGTGATGTGTGAGTTATCAAGATAATTTTAGGAAACTACTGTTCACTTAAGTTTGTTTAATGCACTTACTTGGTGCAGGTTGAAGATGTGGAGACACTGAAACAAAAAATATCTATTCAGGTCTTTGCTATATTGCTGATTTTTACCATCTTTTTTTAAAATAAGTCCCCAGATAAAAGTTCTTATTGGGGAGTATATGAACCCATGATTCCACACTCTAATCTCACTTCACTTATACTTTGAGAGGTAGAGTTAAGATTAAAAAGGTGGTTTCCCTTTAGAATGGAAATGGGAAACCTCAGTTAACTTGAACCATATTTGTATGGGAATTTTTGGGGCAGATATCATTAAGTTGCAACCTGTATTTATTTTTTCTATATGCTGGACTTAATTTTGAAACAGGAGATTACTAAACATCTTGTTGTATGAGAGTGATTGTCTTTCTTCACCTTCTAAGTTTTGCTTGGTTGTGGCCTATGTATGTGGTTGAAGAATCGTCTATGTAAAAGTCTTGCTCCTCTTACATATATGATGTGTGTGTGTGTGTATACAGTACAGTAGGATTGAATTTTCATAAAGAGAAGCATGGCCTAGATGAGCTGAGTGCTTGAGTAAAGTCAAGTGTGGCTGACGTGTTTCATAACAGTTAATGGGCAGGGATGATTCCATACTGCCAGTTACGCCTCTCTGAGCATTGATTTAAACTTTAAAGCCCCAAGCAAGTCTATTTTCCACAGTTGCTGCTACTGCTGCCCAGCCCATGGCTCGTGCCACTGTAGAAAGGAAGAGGTACGCAACTGGTGACTAAAAAAGAAAGCTGCCAGTTTATGCAAGCATTTGGGGAGATGTATAGAAAAACTAGCCCTGTTTTTTTCTTTTCAGTAGATGTTTTTGCTTAATTTAAACTGACTAGAGCAAGAAAAATGTACCAACTCAGGACACTAGAGGGAACCCGGAAGAGGAAAAAGAGAGAACATGATGCTGGAGACGCATATTTACATTTTTTAAATAGTGTATATGAAGAATTCATGTCAGTCCAACTACTAACTCAGTTCAGCTACTGCATCTCTTAATTGCTGTATCACTAACATCAGCACAGGGGAGCACTTACGCATTCTTGAGATAGAGGAAGCTTATGCCCTTTCCTTCCAGTTAAAAGCAGATGGAGCTGGGGAAGAAATATCTATCCGTAGAACAGTGTGCCCCCTTTACCTTGTTCAGTATTGTGACAAGTTGCGAACTCCTAATTACTCTTTCTGGGTAAGTTTCTGCTGTCACAGGATTTGCATGTGTGTACAATATATGTCTGGATACACATTTCCCCAGTAATTTGTATATATATATATATAAAAGGGACAGGATATGGGATATATGATGTGATTGAAAAGTTTTATTGGAATAAGTATAGAATGGCTATATTAATCAGGAAATCCAAAAAAAATCTCAATTAAAATCTGTCTCATTACTATGTGTGTGTTTAACCACATGTATAACAGAAACTCTTTTAGAAATGTCTTACAAGTTTTCAGAAATGTCATTGGAATAATCTTATTATCTATATCCCTTAGTCTATAAATGTAGGTGACATAGCTGCCACAAATTAAACTGTACAGATCTTCAAGGGAAAAGAACAATATAATTAATGTGCTTTTAAAACATTTAAAACCACCATAACTTGGATATTTTGAGAATTCTAACAGTAGAGGGAAGGGGCTGCTTCTCATTGGGAAGTGCCCCATGTTCCAAAAATTGCTGCTTCTCACTGAGAAATGCCCCATGCTCCTTTATCTCTGATTGATTATATAATATCAGACTGTAACTTTGTTGTGGAACTGTATTTTGACAGCTCTGGGCCTGGGAATTGAACAGTGTTTTGGAAGGAGAGAATTTTTTTTTGGCTTTTATTGTTTGAATTTCCTCTGGGCTTGGAAATACTAGTAGTAGTTTCAGAGGTGATAACACTGATTGGAAGTGTGGTTAAATATGCAGAAAATAAATGTATATTGTATGCTTAATGCTTGACTACAATGTTTCCCTAGTTTAAATATGGTTTGAAGCTGTTTAGCTTCCTTTTTCATTATAGAAACTAAAAAACAAATGTGGCAGTAGTACAGTATTTGTAGTGGGTTTTTTCCTCTGCATATTATCAGGGACTCTGACTTCTAAATATGAGTTCCATTTGTATTTTTCTTTTCTTTAAAATGAGTGTAGACTTTAGGCTGAATGTGTTATTAAAGGTTGGTCATTACCAAAATTGCTGTAATAAATTAAAGGATTTTAAGACAAGAAACTAAGTAAACAGGTTGTTTGATATACTTTGACAAGTCTTTAAAGAGCTGTCACCTCTTTATAATTAAATTATTCAGGAGCTGAAGTGGCCACAAAAGATGTATTGAAATAAAAATAAATCAGTGAAGAAGGGTGTTGTCAAAAGAAATAGTTACTACTTGGCAGCAAGGTGCAACAGGTAACAGCAACTAAATAAATATGCCCTATTGAAGTATGCTTGGCTCAGGGCCTGAACTTGCAATTGTAGATCAGCTACACTGAAGGCCTCATTTCCAATACAGTATGTATGCCAGAGAAAATTATAGGTTAGAAAGCTGGTGCAGAGAGTGAAGGAAAAGACAAATGTGAATTATCTTTCCTCACTGAGTGTACCAGTGCAAGGATGAAGATAGATTTATTCTGCATAGTCCCTCAGGTTACAAAACTCTTATTAAGTAAAAGGGAATTTCAGTAGGCAGAAGACTGGCAAGATTTGAGATCTAACCAAATGCACAGAAAAATATAGTCAATAGTGCACATAATTGCAGGTTCCCTAAAACAGGTCCCTAAATTCTGAATGAAAGTGCAAACCATATGCTTAAATACAGCTCATTCACTAGAAAAAGGTCTTATGTGTGCCTACTGTGTCTCTTACTCTGAATGCATCACAGATGTTTTACAAACTTAAGTCATATGTAAACCATCGAGTGGGGTTGCTTATGCTGCCACTGACATGCAACTTTTCCTCTGGATAAAACCAAGCACCTTTGGATTTTGCATAGATACGAAAGAGGATCTTTTTTACATTTGAAACTTTATGCAGTCATATAAACAAAATATAATTACTCAAGGTGGAGTTTGGGAAAGAGATGTAAACAACCCTGGCTTTACAATAGGATCTTTTATGATTTCCTGTTAGAACTGTTGTAGGTGTCGCTGAAAAATGGCCTTTCCATGGTAGCACCATATCTTCTAACTCCATGCTGGGGTACTGCTCCAATACTCATTTGGAGCTAAGAGTACCTGCTATTGAACCTCCACTAATTACTGCTTCTTGCAGTATCTCTGGGTGCCAATGAAACAATACTAAGATTCTATTTAAAACTCTTTCTGAAATGGGGGTGTGTAATGTTCTAAAAGTCTGGGCCTTAGGTACCTCAGTGATCCTAGTTATTGAAGCCCATAAATAGGTGTGCTGCTTTACAAAACAGTAAGGAACTTGATTTGTATCTCAAAGACCTGGTAACCTGAGGGTAAGATTGTGTCTCCTGTGAGAGTGCTTGAGAACCAATGGTGAGAAGCAGGGCCATAAATATTTGCAGACCTTATTCTCATGTAAGTATAAAGACTAAGTAGGCTAGGTCTGTTGTTGATTTTAGGCTCTACAAAGTGAGGCCATTCCTCTCTCGTCTTCCCACATGCAACCTGGCCAGCAGAATAAAAACCACTGCATCCTTTGAAGCAGTGGTTTTGCAGATTTGCTTCTGCCCTACCTTTAAAGCTGGGTGGTGGGTAATTACCACAACTAAATCCTAAAATACGATGTGGCATGGCAAAGGCAAGGTGGTGTGTTATGTGATAGACAGTGACCTAGGTTTTTAAACCAAATGTGTTAATATATGCAGTAGCTGCCTTTTACATAATGTAGAGTATGACTTAACTTGACAAATCTCCAGTAGATCTCTAGACCTGAACCCACACCCTGAGCTGTTGATTTTTAGCATATATGTACATATATTGTAATACTATGACAGAGCAGAGGGTGATGTGAGGAATGGAATTTAAAACCCTGCAGTGGGTAGTAATAGCTAGTAAAACAATTTCCTTTCTGTATTTTGATGTACATTAGATAGTAGTAAGGGAAAAAAAAATGCAATTCCCATGGTATGCATGTAGAACATCCTGAAAAATCTTAGCTGCAAGAGAAAAATTGAACTTTTAAAGCATAAAAAGCAGATCCATTATGTTAGCTGTATTTTGCTAAATTTATATGATGTTCCAATGGGTTTTTATTGTGTGAATTTCTCTTTTCTGTCTTATGATGACATTCTTATTTAAAATAAATGCTACATATTACATTTAGAAACTTGTTTTATTTCAGTGGGTTTTAATTTTTCTTGGAACATACTGAAGATTTTTGTAATGCTGCTCTAAAAAGATATGCTGATTTCCCCACCCCCCAACCCCTCCCCTTTTGTTTGCAAACATACATTCAAGAAGGAAGTGGCTGTCTTTCGGGCTCCTATGGACAGGACCTTGTCTGCCCATAAGAACTCATGTGCTAGCATGCTGATTTTATTATCGCCTTGTAACAACACACCATTGTTAGAATTCCCATTTACATTCTAAACAGGAAGGTAAGGTGAAAAATGTAACTACAATAGCCTTTGCCATACTGTGGGTGTGAGTCCTCATTCGTACCTTTTTTATACTAGAACATTTATGAGATGAGAAGAAACTTATATAAGTGATACAGTTTTTTGGGGGGGGTTTTTTCTTCATCTGTGGCTTTAACCCTAGAAAATTCTCTTGGCAGAGACGTTACTTTGTCTTTTGCTTTACACACATTCCTCTGACGTAGAGCTCAGTTTAGAGAGAGGGAGGGTGTGTGTGTGTATGAGAGGAAGAAAGAGAAAGGGGGTGGGGGGAAAGACACATACACAGAGCTAGTCTGACCAGAAACAGAACTGCCCCTGGCAGATTAAAGAGACAAGTGAGGCTTGGAGTGTGAATCTAGAGAAAAGAGAGTGGAAATTTACAGCTGCTGCGAGTGAGTGACTGTATGCATGTTCAAGTGATCATTTCTGTTAACATTTTTCCAAAGGGCAACATTTAGTCTTCAGTGAGGAGGAAGAGACTGAATTCTCTGGCGTCAGCTTTCTGTGACACATGTCAATGATACAGAAGAACTTATATTAAACGGAACATAAATAAAGCCTCCTCCATCTGGACTGTGCTGATTTGGGGCTGGCAGAGAGCTGTCTTCAGCACCTCATCATGTATCTGCTTTTTGTTGCTTAGACAAGCCTGGGCATTTCTGTTCACGGTGAGTATCAGTAAAGATTATCTAGTCTGAATTAAATCAAGTTAGGTAATTTTAGTAAAACTTTTTCTTTTTCAGATGATAAATAGCTCTTTGGGTAATAAACTGCTCTCCTATTTATTTTCTATAGTTGCATTGTTACCTTTTTGTAGCCTTGTAAACTAATGTTACCAGGAGTGTCTTAAAAAAAAAAGGCAATCCTAAACAATACTTCTTCTGTTACATAAGGCACTGGCTCCATTACCAAATATTTTGTGTCCATGGAATATCTTTGGAAATGAGTTTATTTACAATGGCGTTTCCAAAAATAAAATAGCTGCAATATATCATTTCTCCTGCTTCTTGCTGCTCACTGCCTGCAGCTGCAGCCTTGCTCTTGATATACAGAGGAAAGAGGACATAGTTTCATAAGAAATTCAGGAGCTATTAAGTATGTATGTAAGATGTGAGTTTGTATGCAAATTGTCACAAGGAACTGCATATATCACTATAAATAGACAGGTAGAGGATGATCTAATAGGTCTCTTCCATCTCTATTTTTTTTTTATGATTCTGTGGAATAATGTGCCAGCTCTTACTCAGTCCTTACTCAGGCAAAACTTGTATTAAAGCCACTGGGGAATTTTGCCTGAGAGAGGACTTTTGGATGTGACCCACTTTTAATAGCAAAGTAAAATCATTGCCCTGCCAAACTATTTAATCTGGATGAGGGAGCTGCTGAAAATGATGCAGCACTACTACCCACAGACCTGCCCAAGTGAATGGTGGTGAGATGGGTCACTTTCTAATTATGTCTAATATAAACAAAGAAGAATAAATACACTCGCTAATGTTTTGAACTAATGGTCTGAGAGTAACTGTTGGGTTTTTTTTTTTCCTTTTTGGCTGCTGTCTCTTGTTTCTTACATTATTGAGTTCCATTACTAGTTTCCTTCATTTCAGTGTTTGCTAGTAGAATTATAAATGCAAATTTAAGCTAAAAATTCTCCCTCTTTTTCATCAAAGCATATGGTTGGAAGTGTCATCTGGTCCAAGTAAATAGTAATACCCCTTAAATAATTATTTTAATTTAAAAATCCTGCAGTGCTTCATTAACATTAAAGGGCATAATTGTGCATTGTCTGAGAGTTTTGCTAGGGACTTCTTTAGGATCAGGATTGAACTCTGCTTGTGTTTCACAGGTGTCTCTGAGGTGCTGTAGTGAGAGATCCCTAAAATTTCTAAGTGTCGTCATCCCTGAGCTGTCAGTTGCTATCTGAAAACCTGAAGCATGCATCTCATTCTTGTCATCTTTGTGTGGGCTAACACTTGAAAATTTACTACTGCTGTAAGAAATTCTTTTAGCTCAAGTGGCAGAAGTCTGTGCTGTGGATCTAAAGATTCCAGTGTTGCTGATGCAACCAGTGCAGGTGTAACCATGATGCTGCATGATATGTTGGGGTTTTTAAGTTTAATATTCCCCCACCTCCAAGAAAAAAGCCTAGGGAATTACAGGGGTGCAGCTGGTGTGTGCTCTTTACTTTTCATTCCATCCAGGAAGAGCACACACCAACTGCAGAAACTTCCTTAGCCCGACCAAAGGGTTTTTGAACCCGAAAGCTTGCTTAATAATTGTTTTCCAACTATTTAAGTTGGTCTAATAAAAGATATCAGATTTACCCAAAGAACCTTGTCTGCCTAGGGAATTACATACATTTAAACTACCCTATTAAGGTTGTGGATTCAAGCACTTGAAAGTTGGTAAAAGCTAGAATTAAGGTTGTCGGTATTGTCTTAATTTACATCTACTCCAGACACAGCATTATGATACAGTCTTAAGATACATAACTGCTTAGTATTTTTCCCTAGCATACACCCCTGCTTCATTCAATGAATGAGCAGTTATCAAATAACTTTTTTATCCTTTATATTCAACAAATCTTAGTGGCCAATGTTTTGTTTAATTCCATGATGTCCAAACCCTCTATTGAATACAACATTATTAATGTCTTTGTGTAAAGTTATATAGTGTTTCCATCATAGTATCTGAATGCAGACAGACAACAATTATAACAAATTTAAATTTATAATAGCTTATTGTGGTTGATGCTGAACTGATGCAACTCTTTTATCTGGCTTCTCCATTATTGGTAGAAGTAGAACTAAACTGTTATAATAATGTATCACAAACTGGGTGGATTTGATTTAAATGACTGTTCAGGAAGCCTCAATTTAATCATTGTTTTCTAATAAAAGTGTGTTCTTGTTTGATATTCTCTATTCATTTAACTTCTTGAAACTTTGCACTTTTAGAGAGAGGGAAGGGATGATGTACACAAACTTTCAGAGAGACAATAGGGATGATGGGTAGGTAACCAGGTCTGTTATCTCTAATCTCCATATACTGCTGTTAACAAAGATGTTATCTCTAGAGACACAAATCCACAGTTTTGAGAACTGAAACTAAGCATCACAGAGATGCTTAATGGGATCTTCTAGACTGAACACTGAGTCCCATTGGGTAGAGGGGTTTTCTCTAATCTTTACTAATCTATAAAGGAGCCTCTGGGACCCCCATAAGATTGGGCCCCTAATATAGCCCATGTCCTGTTGTGACCCATTTATAAAACTTTTCTAAAAAGGTTACATGAATATATTGTCTCAAATAATATATAATTAGAATTTATAATCTCTATTCCATGATGATATCTTTGAGCTCTAACATATCTTAAATTATTTTTTAAAAGCATCTTAACAAAAATACAATTTAAAAAATCAGATTTAAATAATAAAATCCAATTTTTAATTTTTTTTATATAATTTATTTGTATCCACCCTGATCTCACATGGTGGGTGCATTTAATATCAAAGATGTGTTGTGAAGATATGTGGTAGTATCACCACCACTTTACAGGTGGGACACTGAGACAAAAATCTCTCCTTTGCATACTTAATTGGAGATGCCTACTGCCTGGCTCTTTTTAAGTACAGTACTTCATATTTTTATAGCACTTCATGTGATCAAATGCAGCTCTAACCAACCTATAGCTGCAAATACTAAGTATTTCTGCATATCTTGTTTCAGGTGTCTCATATTGGGCAACTTAGAGGAATACCTAGTTAGTGTCCAGCTGCTCAAAGTTTGGTTTAAGTGACTTGCTTAGCCTCAGAGAGAAACTTTTGTGCAGAGGCAGAAATAGAATTCAGTTATCTGGGGCACCGTTTAGCTACCCTAACTATGAGACTGTCCTTTTCTTTCTGACAGTTCACGACACTTTCTAAAATCTGCAGCAGATGAAACAGGGCTCCTGCAGATAACATTTTAACTTGTATATAGCTATGATTCATTTCCCAAAGCACTGTTCTGGATAAGTCTTGGGTCCTGTGGAAAGCATAACGTAATTAAAAACTATACATAAAAATGCATAGTCACAAGGGTGGGGAGCAAATTTAATATTGCATGAGCAGCTTTAAATGTTGCGTTTTCTTATTTGAATGCCTGAGTTTCCTATGATTCTATGAACAGTGCAAAGTAAGAATGGAAGGGACCTCACAACGTTATGTAGTCCAGCCCCATTTTAATGTGTGTTGTTTGTTTGTTTTTTTTTAATAAAATTGTGTTTAATTTTTTTATGGAGTTGAAGAAGATTAGTTTGAGGAATTGTATACTGAAATGTTATTAAGCCAGACACACAATGTATTGGCTTTAATATATTAGACGGGTTTGGGGAAAGTTTCATTTCCAATTTTAATTTCATTTACTCGCCCAGGGGTGAGTAAGCTAGTAGAATTTTGTGGTACTGAAAAACGTGATCAAGAAAAGGATAGGGAAACAAGTGTAGAAGGTGTTCTTGTCTGAATCTGAGCAAAATTATATATATTCAGACAAGCCACTTACTGTTCAAAAGTAATATGGAAGAAGAATGCTTTGAATGAATCACATGCTGTCATTCTTGTGTTTGTGGGCAGGAGGAAGTGTTTGTTGCTGAACTGCGTAACTGAGTCACTGTATAATGATGCGATGTGCTGATGGCTGAAGTAATATTGCTTTTGCTTTCCTCCATTGTTCATATAAGCTCTTATAAATTTAACTCTTTATCAGAGGCTGTGAATAATAAGTAAAGGAGAGCTTGAGGTGGGTGCCTATAAAATAAGCTGAACTATATTTTGTTCATCATATACTTGTATTAAAAAGCTCTTGTTCCTCTTAATTTTTCCGTAGTTCATAAACTACCTGAACAGATTTCTTACCTGTCAGTCAGTTCATAACCCAACCCTTCCCCCAAAATCAGCTTGGATTTTTTTTGTGTTTCTTTTTTTCTTCCTTTGGCCTATTATACTAGAGTCTACAACCAAGAGCTAAAAGGGGGTGGTGACCTAGCATTTTTCTCTCTCCATCTTACTTTAGCATCCCTGCATGATTTAAAATGGCTCTAAACTTCCCATGGAAGCTCTAGGGAATTTGTTGTTTGGTTGTCTGTTCTGGGGAATTCTTCTTTTAACTTCCAGTTTGGATGAATTGGATTAGTAATGACACATCCTCTGAGATGGAGAGACAAACTCAAAGCTGTACAGTCGTGGACATACAATACAAAAAGGAAGATGGAGAAATTCTAATTACTTATCAGATTTACAGAAAGCGTAGAATTTATCAGACTTTTCCCACTTAAACTGTGGGAGCAAAACTAATTTTAATTCCCTTAGCTAGCATCTTGCCCATATTTCAAAACTACCAACAAACTAGATTTTAGATTTCTAGACTGATTTGGATTGGGTGGGGGAGGTGTGGAACTTAATTGTAAATGGTTGTTTCTCATAGGTGGTACTCGGTACCTTCCGCAAATCTCTTTTCAGTTGCTGTGATGTTTGCTATTAGGCCAAAGGGATCAAAGGAATAATATAGCACTGGAAGAGAACTCTGGGTCACCAAGTCCAGTCTCCTGGTATTGCAGGCAATCGTGTCATATACTGTTTTTACTTGAATCTAAGATTACCCTGAATTGAAGATGACCCCCCCCCCCCCCGATTAATTAGATTCTATACATGGAAAATTTATAAATTTATTATAATTTCCCATGTACAGAATTCAGTTATTGGAGGGTTGTCTTTAATTCATCCCCACTGCCTGCTGCAGGGGGGGCAGGCAGTGTGGGTGGGGAGTCAAGTAATATGTACCTGCTTCCCTGCTACCTTGTCCCCCACCACAGCATCAGTCCTTCCCTCCCTCTGACTCTTGTCCCACTCCTGCCCCTTCTTTCCAGTCTCTATTTCCCCCCCTCCCCCTTGCTCCATCTGGCAGGTTCCATCCCCATTGTAACCTGGGGCACTGAACACAGCTTAGTCTAGCCCCCATAGCAGCCACTCACACTGTGCACTGCTGTTATGGGGCTGGCCTGGGGCCGTGCTTAGTGCCACAGGCTGCAGTGTGGAGCCTGAAGAGATTGCAGTGGGGCAATGGTGGAAGGCAAAGGTGAGGGGCAGGGGGCAGGTTACAGCTACAGCCCTGAGCCTGGGTAGGGGCTGGAGCCTGAGCCCTGCCCCTCCACCCTCATACTCAATTCTAAGACAAGGGGTTTCCCCCCATGTTAAATTGGGAGGAAAAAAACTGGTCTTAGAATTGAATAAATATGATAAATCCTAGGAGTGTACCAATTAAAGATTTTCTTGGCTGATACCGATAGCCAATGATTTAACCAACCATATTGGCCGATGCCAATTCGATAACCAATATTTAGTAAAAGTGCAAGGCATTTTAAAGTACTGACATAAACCTTTCTTTATTTTGTTTTGCATTTATAACACACGCGCATATGTGTCTCCTGACTGGTCCAGCCCTCAGTGAAGAAGGCGGTGATCACCTTTATTCCCATACATGTCACCCCCTCGCCCACGGCTCCTACCCACAGCTATGTTCCCTGTGCAGCCCGTGCTGCCATCCTGGGTGGGCAGGGTGAACCCTTGCACGGACAGTGATGCCGGGCATATTTGAAGCTCTAGAGCATACGGTTGCCCATGCAGCTGAGCTCCTGCAGCCACCAGCGAGAAACCACTTTTGCAAAGGCACACGGTGCCCAGTGAAGCAGCATGTCCCTCATGCGGTGCCTTACCCCACCTGTGTGCAGCCCAATATCTCTGCAACAGCTCCAGTGCTCAGGCCCCTGCTGCATGTGTGGCATTGCCATGGCAGCAGCAGCAGAAGCTGGTAACAGTCCCTTTGAGCGTGGCACTCTGTGACTGCTTCTTGGTGCCCTCTCCCTTAGCTTGCCAGAACCTGTAGTCTGCCGTGGGCTTGGGCCAGTAGCAGGGTGTGGGGACCTGACTATGCTCACCAGGGTGCTCTGGGCGCGCAGCTATAATTATCAGCTACAGAGACCAAAAAAAGATGATGGCTGATAACATCATTTCTCCTTTTATTGGTGCCAATCTGATAGCCAACCGCTGTATCAGTGCACCCCTAGTAAATCTAACAAATTAAAAAGGAAGTTTTGGGTTTATGGTTAATAGACCACAGGATTGGGCATTAAGAAATCTGAGTATTATTCTTAGTCCTACCATTAGCATCTTATGTGATCTGGAAAGAGTTGTTTAACTTTTTTGTGTCTCAATTTCTTCCTTTGCAAGTGGGGTAATAGGACTTGCAACACACCTCTAAGTCACAAGAGTCTTAATTAAATGTTTGAAAAGTTCTTGGCATTCTCAAGGCAAGCATGATACCTAGGTGTAAAGGGGCGTTATTGTCTTAGCCATCCCTCTGAACACTTTGAGGACCTGTTCACTGCAAACTTCATACAATTCAAGATTTAATGCATTGCTGGAGTCTGCATTATATGTTTTAGTCTCTTAGCTGTACGTGTATATACATACTCATGGGGCTGTCAAGGGATTGATAAGGTAATCTGGTAAAATACAAGAGCAAGAATTTCATGTAAGGAGCAAAAGACACTTTCCCCTTCATCTTAGCTTGCTGCTCCCCCCCCCCCAAAAAAAAAAAAAACACCTTTGAGATTTGAACAGACCCACTTAAACCTTTGGGAAAGGTTGCTTTAAAAACTGCTTTTCATATTTTTGTCATGTTCTAAAATAAAGCAAAAGCAAACACATTTTTTCACAAATGTGTACCTGTATACAGACAGAACTGACACTGTCTCTAAGATCTATTTGTAAACTTTGAGCTCATGAAAGATGTTTGACTCTTCATCCCTGGAGACTGAAATGTTCTGTTTATATAAAGGTTATAACCACAGGCAGTGAAAGTGCATGATTCCCCACACAACCCTGCCAGTGTGCCTCATTCGTAAACTGGAGGAACCACCACCAAGGCTTGGGGTGGGGGGCAGTCTTTCTCTAAATAATCTGTTCCTTCCTTGATTCCCTGAGATTTGCCAACAAAGATATAAATTAGTGCTACTTATGGTAATGCTGATGACCATTATGAAGCTGCTGTTCCCTGTAAGAAACTTGCAAGAGATCACTTTACCCTTTTTATGCAGGCCACTTAATAACCATCAAATAACTACAAAAAACTTTTAGAGAAACATAAGAAATAGGACTGAAAGGGACTTCCTGGCTCATTGAGTCCAGTCCTTTGCTGCTACAGACGAACTGTTACATACTCCCTGCATAAACCTATCCAGCACCATTTTAAAACTAGGTAAGTTCCTCCCCTTCCTTATTCGGAGGCTGTTCTAGAAACTTATTCCCCTGTTGATTAGAAAACTTCAGATTTTCAGATTACTATTTTTTTTTCTTTTTTACTTTTTTTGTAATCGGTTTATACCCATTTATTCTTGTATCAACATTATCCCTTTACTTACCTGGCTCTCTTTGTTCCTTAAAGCAGATCCATCCAACTTCAAGGGTCAAGGGGTGCCATACTCCATGGACTGCACTGGCAAGGGCTGCAGGACCTGGGCCCTTAAGCCTTGTCCTGTGCAGATGCCTCTGCCACTGTATTGCGTGCCCATGCAGCCCCCACACAGCTGCTGTCTGTACTGATGCAGGGGGCAGTAGGGTTGCTCCCCCCCACTGCTATACCATGTGCCTATGAAGCCCTGGAGTCAACCCCCACACTCTACACCAGCCACACTACCCTGTCTCTTGAGGCTGAGGTAGGAAAGGACAGCTGGAGGAGAAAAGAGCCCTTGCTGTTGCAGCCTGACAGTGGAAACAATGGCCAAGGAGGCCTGGGCTGTAAATTTAACCCTTTGCAGGCCACCAGACAGCCACCCCTGCCTTAGTTTATCCCCTTCCCCCCTACTGATGTATTTATAATTGTTTTCAGCCTTATACTCTTTTTTTTTTGGCGCACATCATGAATGACAGTTAATCACAAGACTGACCTTGGAGGAAATCCACTGGTAATTTCTTCCCGTCCCCTGGATAGCTCTCCTTTAACCTTTACCTTATTCATCTGCAAATTCTTGTACTTATCTCCATTTTACATTTGGTAAACCTATGTTGATTTTATCCCCCTTTCTGTTTACCTGCAGTAGCAAGTAATGGGTGCTGTAGAGGAAGAGTATAAAAACATGGTATGTGTAAAGTGTTCCATTCCCTGTCTTACTCTCCCAGTAATCAGCAGTCGTAGGTTTAGGGGTATGCTGAGCCTGAGGTTATAGCCTTGATAGACAAATTCATGTAGGACAGGTCTAATCTGATGATTCTCAGTCATGGTACTATGGCACCGTGGTGTGCTTTGATCTCCTTCCAAGGGTTTCACCAAGTGCCATGCAATGTTAGCACTGTTAGGTGTGCAAACATGATTCATAAGATGAACACGGAGATTTCAGATAAGAATCCATAATGTTAAAACCATTCTGACTTGTTGTCCGTCTGAGTTTTTTATAACTGAATTGCTCTATGATTTTTCTGTAGCCAAAAACAGAATGAAAAATAAGAGCTTGCATTTTCCAAGGGATGCCTTGTTAGATCCAAGGAAACTCTTGTTACATATACTCAAGGTTGAGAACCACTGGTCTAATCTCTTTTTAAACCTGGTTATATTATTGGTCTCCACAACATTCTGACAAGTTCCATATCTTAAAAACTAAGAAATACCATACTGGGTCAGGCCACAGGTCCATCTAGCTCAGTATCCAATATCTCACAGTAGCAGAGAGTGGATCCTAAAGGTGGACGGGGTCTAGCCAGACTGCTCTGTCTCTTACCTATTTTCCCTTGCAGCCTACACCATTTAGGGGCCTAGAAAGTCATCATTTGGAACCTGTGGCACCTACAGTTTTGTTTGATACACAGTAGTGGACCTGTCCTATATGAATTTATGTAATCCTCTTTGTGAACCTATTAAATTGTAAGCCTCTGCAAGATCTTGTGGCATTGAGTTCTGCATGTTAATTACATGCCATGTAAGAAGGAACTTTCTTTTGTATATCTTAAATCTCCCTAATAACAGCATTGCATGTTGCCTAATTTTAGGGTTGTAAAAAAATGGTAAATCCCTATTTAATTTTTCCATGCTGTTCATTATTTTATAGACCCCTTTCATATGTTGCTTATATGCTGTTTGAAGCAAAACAGAAACACCACTTCCTTTTGTTAGTTTGAAACCTTTCACTTGCCAGTTTAGTTGGATCTTCCCTAGTTCTTGTTTTTTGAGACTTGGTAAATGATACTTTCCATTTCGCTGGTTCCAAACCATGCATGATTTAAAACAGGGGTGGCCAACCCATGGCATGGGCAACCTCTGTATTTGGCACATGGCAGATCAGGTAGGGAACAGATAGCAAAGCAGCAGATAGGGCAGTAAGTATCAGGCAGGAAGCACAGAGCTGAAAGCAGAGCAGCAAATTTGGGGACGGGAAGAGTACTGGAGTGATATTCAGGAAAGGTGCATAATTTGTGCATGCCTGCCAAAAAGATTGGTCCCCATTGATTTAATAGACCTCAATTCTACCCACTTCAGTTTCCTCTCTTGCAAGCTTAAGAAGACCTAACCTTTTCAGTCTTTCCTCTCGTTTTCAGATGGGATGACCAGAACAGCACATAGTATTCATGGTCTCATGGATTTATATAATGGGATGCTGATGGTTTCTGTTTTAACTTTACTTTTACTGTGGGAATTCCTCACAATATCCTCTACAATAAAGACTGATCCAAAGAATTCATTTAGTTACTCTTCTCTGAGTGCATCTTTTTACAGCCCAGTCCTCCAATTCTGTCAGACTTCTTGCTTCTGATTTATTTAGAAGAGAAAAGTAGTATTCTCAGTGGGACTATAAGAATTATACTGCTTTGGAGATGCTCTGCCACTTTCACACCTAACTGTTGATCAGATTTTTGTCTAGAGCAGCGGTGCTCAACCTATGGTACATAGATCAGAACTAGCCTGTAGCACAAAGGATCAGTGGCTAACAGCTCAGTCTGGCATATCCCTTTCCCTCCCTGCACAGTGTTCCTGAACCCCTTTGTAGGCTTCCCTACTCCCTCCTTCTCCCACCCCCTATAGCAGGCAGTTTACTTACTACCTCTCCTTTCCTCTGTGGCAGGTGCTGTTTACCAAAGGAAAGCCCTTTCACTCGCTCTCTCTCCCACTTCTGACCTTAGTAGCTCCCTCTTTCACTCCTATTCTCCCTTCCCCCACTTCCATACAGGAAGGGAGTGGTGGTCCATGGTACAGCCCAGTCGCAAGCACCTGGGATTCTCCTAAGATGGGGAAAAGCTTTGGCCTATCAAGTGAGACACAATCCTGTTGGAACTCCGGTGAAAATAATGACTATTTAGGACAGATTTTCTGTTCTACAGACATACATAGATTAATTCCTTTTGGAAAAAGGTAATAATCCTTGTGATCCTTGAAGCTATCTTTGAATGTATGAAAGGATGTATGCATATAATCTTTCACTACTTCCCCTTTCTCACTGTTCCTACAATAAAAAGGAAAAAGCATATGAAGAGAATCTCCTAATGGCCAAACATTTATTTAAGAATCAAAGCTACCAAATTTACCCATCCCACAGCTGAGTGTGAATTGTCTTAATTTTGCTAGCTTTCTAAAACACACTTTCAAAAGGTAGTTTAAAGGCTAGCAACACAAATTTCCTTATTTCCTTCCTCTTGCAGGTACCATCACTCCTCATGTCTTGTCTTTAGTGATGGAAAAAGGTCTAATTTTGTAAAAACTTTATTATTTCCAACGTTTATATTTTTAAACTATGCCACAGGATATAAAGCTTTTAACCCATGGTATAGGTTTCATAGTTTCATAGTTTCTAGGGTCGGAAGGGACCTGAGCAGATCATCTAGTCCGACCCCCTGCCATGGCAGGAAAGAGTACTGGTGTTAGTTCTGGAAGTCCCTGTTACTTATTAACAGCATTTAGACAAACACATCACATACTATCCTTAAATTCTTAAACCTGTGGGATGAGGTAAGGTAGTTAGTGAGAGGTCTCCTTCTTTCTCAGTATGTGAATGTTGCTGAGCATGTCCATTTGGGGCATACTGATGACTAACTAACCACAGAAATAAGAATTTAGCTTGAACTGATCTCTAAGAAGCTTGAAAATTGGAAACTCAGACTTAAACTTTTAGAATGAGTATGCAAATATTCCTCTAGAAGTAGCCTTACAATATGAGTTATTTGCAATAGGAGATATTTTAAATCTAATTAAGAAACCTGCCATTGAAACAATGTTTTTCAAATAGCAACTCTTACATTTGTGTCTTAAATAACTCACAGAAGAAAGGTATCTGTAAAAGTGCTCCAAGACATTCCATTAAAAAAAAATTAGGATAGGACTTGTCTTATTCTATAAACTTCATGTATTTCTGGTGTTATATAAATAGTAGTAATATAAATGAGTCTTTCTTAAGAACCCCTAAGGGGAAAATGGTGGCTGTGGCACAGAATGCTACAATAATACTAATAATATTACAGGGGGAGAAATGTGTTTGGTAAGGCTATTTAGATTTTTATGAGGTAAGGTTGAATGTTATACACATAGATAATTATCTATATATTGTAACTTCTTTATACTCTCCTTTGCAGCAGATCATAAATTTCTTATCTGAGAAGTATCTTGAATCACAAAAACTATATGGACATTAGAATAATTTTTCTTCGGTTAATTTACTTCTTACCAGTGTTTGCGTCTTCATTCTTTCCATGTTTTTCAACATAGGATCCTGTCCAGCCTAGTGCTGTATGTCTCTTTGGTAAAGAGATCCAGGCTGATCCCGTGCCTGCTCAAATCAGTGGACTCTTTTTGTTGAACAATAGGCTTTTGTATCAAACCCTTAGGACATGTTTACCCTATCCAAAGACTGCTAAGGAGTGCTGGAGTGCCTACTTTGTGTGTTTTTCTGTTTTTGCTATGAGAGGTAGAGTTGTGATACCTTAGTTTTTGAGGTGAATTTGATGTCTTTTTAAGGAGGTACTTCAGTCTATATTGCAGGGAATTCTATAGTTTGTATGAGAAAATAAGGGAGTTTAGGTTGGGTAGCTGTGGTGGCCTCTCAGGATTAGGTTTCCTTCCTCTGCTTGTCTTTCCTTCTCTTAATATTGCACTTACAATAGTTGTTATACAGTTATATTGGATTTAATCCATGTTTCAGACTTTATGATAGTTATATTTAGAGGCCAGGAAGATATTTACTGCCTTGAATGCATAACTTTGTTTCTGTTTCTTCCCCCTTGCTTCCTGTGAAGAGTTGGAGATTGGCAGCAAGTAGAGGCAGGAGACTAGACAAATTGCACTGCTGATTGTAGTGATATTGAGGAAATTCTCAGGCACCAGGCTAGTGGATCAGGGTCACATGCTCTCCGTTAAACTGCTTGCTAGAAGGTATTTTCTCCCAGGTCATATTGGCGTGTCGTTGCCTTTCTCTGTAGCATGGGGTCTAGTCCATTTCCTAGCATTATCTGGGTACAATTTACCTAAAAAAGTCCCAGGGCATTCACTGCACCTGTGGCTTTTCCCATTTTCTTTCTCCAACATGTTATAGTTTTTGGGGGTCCTTTTTTACTAAAGTTCCTAAACGTGTTAGAGGATTTTTTTTAGTTTTGGGGGTGGAGGGGAGAGCAGATGTTCTTGTGGACCCTTTTGGACTTAACATTTGTTTTGACTCAACTTAAGCATTTGGAACCCAGAGTCCCCTCTCTCTCTCGTTACCATACTGTAGATCAGCTCTTTTACATAGATTACAGTGTATTTTGGTAATAATTGCAACCAAAACTTTAAGTTGACTTATTTCTTCTTTGGTTTTAAGGTGATCCTCAGCTATACTGGAAGAAGAAATTCAAGTGAAGGAAAAGAAACATGCCTTTGTTTAGTAAATCACACAAAAATCCTGCTGAGATAGTGAAAACTTTGAAAGAGAACATGGCCATCTTGGAAAAGCAAGAAAAAAAGACAGACAAGGTATGAGGTAATCTTTTAGAACAGTGGTCTCCAAACTTTTTTTGATTGTGCACCCCTATCAGTAAACAAATTTTGAGCACACACCCCCAATATATGTATATTTATATAAATAGACGTTCTAATATTTTCTTCCCACACCCCACTTCGGAGACCACTGCTTTAGAAGACCAATGAAAAGGCATTTAAATGTACTGGAGATAATAGTATAAAGAGTGAAACTACAGACCTGACTCTATAAATATCACAGACCTGACTCTATAAATATCACTGAAGTTACTAACTTCACGTGAGTGAAGCTGAATCAAATTTTGAGAACAAAAATCTAAAATGTTTCTAGATCAAAGAGGTTAATACCAAAACATAATTTCTTTTAATTGCACAAGCAGATATCAAAATATCAGGGAACCAAATTTTAAATATACTTTTTAAGTTTCATAGTTTCATAGTTTCTAGGGTCGGAAGGGACCTGAGAAGATCATCTAGTCCAACCCCCTGCCATGGCAGGAAAGAGTACTGGGGTTAAACGACCCCAGCAAGGTGTTCATCTAACCTCTTCTTAAAAACCCCCAGGGTAGGAGCCTGCACCACCTCCCTTGGAAGTTGGTTCCAGACCCTAGCCACCCTGACCGTGAAATAGCGCCTTCTGATGTCTAACCTAAACCTACCCTCTGCTAGCTTGTGACCAGAGGATTACTTCTTTCCAGGTTGACAAACAAGACAGCAAAACTGAATGTGTTCATACAACAAAATAATATATAATTCATATAACAATTCATATAATTGTTGTGCCACATGTGCATGTGTGCTTTACCAATGTATAATCACAAAACTGTCTAAGTGAATTTATTGGCACCACAGACTCTATAATTCTTTAAAAGTATTGTCATGGCCTAGTTCAATAATAAGAGTGCGGATGAGACTAAAAATAGAACTAGTTCAAATTAAACTAAACAAAAATTAAACCACAGATAATAGCTAGGAAATATTAAACCATTTATGTTTATAAAAATTTAACTGTGAAGTTTTCAGACTTTCCCCAATATATGTATTCCTTGGTGTCAGAAGTGAACAAAAAATTAAAAGATAAGCATCAGTCCCTTCTCAGTGAATTCCCCCTAGTACTTTTAAGTGCTCAGAAAGTACCTCAGAATATAACAGTAACAGCATGGCTTTCAGTGAGATATCTGATATTTGCTGTCTCATTTTGGGCTGCCTTCAGTTAATTGGGAAGGATCAATAGGGAAGGAAAGAGTTTGTGTGTGTATATATGTATATATGTGTGTGTGTATATATATATATATATATATATATATATATATATTTAAAAAATTACTTAAAAAAATTTGTTTCTATGTCGAGTGTCCTCACTAGCCTAACTAATTGGGACATGCAGTGCAGAAATCCAAATTTTAATTTTTTTGCTTTTGAGTTCTTTCAGTTCTGCAGTGGTTGAACTGTTGTTCTTGGGGTCTCCCACATGGACCCCAGTGGTAAGCAAATTAGAGGGAACCTGGCTTTTTATGAGAACCAGTAATTGATGATTTTTGAACTAAGTAAAATTTGAACTTTTCAGCATATCTTTTCCTAGCAAGATAAAAGGATTACAGATATAAAAGATTTCAATTGATCTGTTGGGATAAAAATAACTTTCAGATTTGAAAATGGAATTTATTTTATGATTGATTGTAACTGGACATTAACAGGTTACTTTGAAAATCAAAAATCCTAATCCTGAAAACATGACTCAGGAAGAGGGCCACTTAAGCCACTAGTTATTTAATTAACATGTCATTTAATTCCTAGTCTTGTTCATTCAGTATTGACTTGCACAGAAATGGTCCTGTTTAGAAAAGTACTTAACAAAGCATTTAAAGATGTGCTTGAATTGAAGCCTTATACAGTACTAAGATCAGAGACTCCAGAGCAGGCAGTAATAGGAAATTACATTTAGTCAGTAGTATCCCTCAGTTGAAAGAGTTGCACTCCATTGCTCTGAAGCAAGTCCCACCCATTAAGGAAAAAGGCCAGACAAAGGATCCTTGAGGTTGGGGAAGCAAGTCACAATGTGGAGATCCTTAGGGCTCCAGTTTATAAGAACCTGAGAGGATAAAGCACCTCTCTCCTAGAGAGAGAAAAACAACCCCCCCAAAACAGTAACATAAAAACCTGTCCATGTTCTTGCATATTTCAAACCTTGGAGTGCTTAGTGCATCTGCACTTATTCCATATTTTGCCACTGTGTGTATATATTTGAATGTTTGCTAGGAGAGGGTTCAGGTCACTGTGAAGTTTCCAGATGTTTTGCTGAATTGAGAAGGCTTGAAAACCAGTTATTACCTTACTGAAAAATTCATTTAAAAAACGCGACATCTTTCTTTTTCTATTAATACAGCTAAAGTACTTTCTTCGTTTTGTTTTTGATTAAGGCTACACAGCAAGGGGTAATTTTGTTTCATGGAGGATTTCAATTTCTGGTTTAACTCCATTTTTGGAATGAAGACTGAATATTTAGCATTCTCTACAAAAGGGAGTAGGGTCCTGACTACAGAGCAACAGGTCTTGGAGCCACAGGTCTTGGCAGCCCTGGAGTCACCAGACAGACCTACCTAATGAGCTTTTCTAGAGTTGTGGACCTTAGGAGCTCAGGCTCAGAGCTGCAAATTCGGGAGACTGGAATCCAGGGCTTCCAGAGTGTCCAGGTTCTCACCCCCCATTATCTCAATAAGTGAGCTGCAGAGGGGTTCTTAGCTCATTAGACAGGCTGCTACTGAGGAAATGGCTGGGTAAGCTGTCAGGAAACTGTGTGGCAGATGGGAACTTTATTGGAGCCCTTTCTGTGTTCTGTTACAATTGCAACAAAATTGAACTGTCCCCATGAATCATTTTTATTTCAATGAATCACCATTCCCTGATTGGGGAAAAATGTTATGTTAGAGAATTCCTGACCACTTTCAAAACACATTTTTTCAAATGGATAAAAACCATTTCCTTCCATGGCTAAACATAGTATTGCTCCTAAACACAATTCATTCCAAATAGAATTAGCTTAAAAGTCCTAAGAACCTATCCCATAGTAACTTAGTTATACCTGTCAGATGACTAATGTGATGTGTAGCTGGAAATGCAGGTTTGTGATAGTTGAAAGCTGCTGATATGTGCGTAATAACTAGTTAAGCTGTTGCATTTTTCTGCTAAAAATCCACGGGAAAACTTGTTTTTAATTTTTGTTCTTATCTTGATGAAACACAGCTATAAAGCAATAGTACCAAGCAGAGCTGAGATGGTACAGGGAGAAATGAGGGATTATTTTATATATAAGAAATTTCATTAAAACACTTGCAGCAGAGAACATCCGTACAACATAAGCACAACTTTCAACTAGCCCCAAAATTATTATTCATACAAAGCTGCATTCCAAGTGAGATCTTGGTGATGAGTTGTAAATCACTTTGCATTTTCACAAAAAGGTATCCCTGCTTTATTTAATAGAAAACAGAAATGCTGATTGTAAAAGGAATTGCAAAACTTTGCAAGACCTATTTCTCTGTGAAATATATACATGAGATACAGATATCTTGTGTGTATATGAAACTAAGAGGGTGTGTGTATGTATGTATGTACTCTTAATTGCATGTATCATTATTCATCTTGTATTTACATTTTTTCACTGTACTAAGGTTCATTGACTTCAGTGGCATTCCAACCACTTAGATAGACCAAGACCAAATTTGACCTGATTAATCCATGTACTTTAGTTGGTTCCTGCTTCTGATGTCACTGTGGAGTGCTCTTTCCTCTGCTTATGTTTCACATTTGTTTCAAAGAAGGTGTTGCACTGATGGGAAGGTTAACATAACAATGAGAGGATTAAGGAGGGTAAACCTTCAGATCTGGAGAAGTTAAATTTAATCTTCCCTTATTTATCTATCAAATAGTGTTTGAAATGAACAGAGCCTCCTTGAAGTGTGCAATTATCTTGATGGGTTTCTGTTCACAAACTTTCATACAATGAGGAGCAATTCTGTTCTCTGTTATATAAATACATGTTACATAAAATTAATCCTGCACATGGGGGACTGCATTCACCCCTCATTTAATTCCAGGACATATGCTATCGATTAACCAGAAGAGCAGGAAGACGATTAAGCAAATTGGGAATTAAACTTGATGTAATTATACATCCAGTGAAAGACAGAAGATTGGGCACAGTGGCAACTTAGAGACTAACTGGTTCAGAGAAGAGTTAGCTTTCACAGGCAAACAGCTGACTGTCATCTGATACTGAAGTAGGCTGCTGCCATTGAAAGCTCATGCTTCTTTGAACCAATTAGCCCCTAAAGTGCCACTTTGCACTGTCTTCTGCCAGACTTCAGACTAACACAGCTTACCAACTCTGTGATCAGGTCAAATTAGACTTGCTTATTTTTAAAGTGGCCTATGAATAGCTATAGCAGAAAGAGCTTAGAGGTATGCAGATTTGGCATGTTGGAGTTTTGTATGTTTTCACACTGCTTTTCGTTTTTCTTTGAATTTTTTTTCAAATTGGATGGATTTTGCTTTGATTTTTGCAGTCCAAATTGCCAAGTTTTGCCACATTTAAAACCTTGTCAAGCTGAAAAACCTTTCCTTGGATCACACTGAGGCAAAAACAGATATCCCTATGCATCCCACCTTCACCTGCTGCAAACGCTAGTGCCAAGACAAAGTTTTGAAAGATGGGGGGTTTAGTGGATGGGAGGTGCACTTGTTAAACAAGACAAGCAGGAACTTATAACGTGACAGATGTTAGTCACGTTGCTGAATGCACTTGAATACTATGGTAATAAATGTGGCATAAAAACCAACGCAGAATAGAGGAAATTATGTCCCAACCCAGCTCGGAACAAAGGGGATGGCATCCTGTCTCCCTAATGATCTCACAAGTAACCACAGAGCTGTATTAGCACAAGGAATTAATTCTACACACCAGTCAGCACTGAAGCATGAGCAGTGTGTAAACA